TGGATTTGCAGTTTTGAGAATCCATGTGTTCTAGCACTAACATCCCCTTCTTCTCTTGGGCCAGGGGTTCTCAACCTTGCATCTAGATGTTTTGAACTTCATCGCTCAAAACTCCCAGCCAGTATGGTCAATGTTCAGGAAGCTTGGGAGTAGAAGTTCAAAACATCTTAAGGGCCAAAGGTTGAGAAAAACTGTCTTAGATCAATGAGCCAGACTGAACCCAGCCCTTCCCTTTCAAGTAGATGAAAAGTAATCTAGCCCTCTCTTCTCAAGTACAGAGGTATAATTTTTAACAGTCTTCTGACTGAGAATAGGTGGGATCCCTACAGTGGAAGTTTCAACTTTCAACTAAGAACCAGGCATTTGCTCAGGCATTTTCCTGATTATCTACCTAATTTACCAGGGCAGTCACTTACCCTCATGTTGAATGCATTATTTTTAAATGATTTGTTATTGTTTTCATTGATCTATCATCATTTTCTTTATTAATTAGCTTTGTGGTATCTGTTTTTAATGTCAACTGCCTTGAGATACTTTAGATTAGAATTTGAGAAGCAATGTATAAGTGTTCTTAAATAAATAAATGCAAAAAATAAATACCAAGTCTGTATTGATAAGAGGGCATGACAAATGAAGAGGTCACTGGACAGAGAGGAAAAAAGAATGCTTGGTCATGAGAGAAATAAAGGGGAGTGGAGCCAACACCGTGCAAAGCACTGCTTCTCCTATGACCATCCTATTTTCCTTTCTTTGCTGAACAATGGCAACACAACATTGGTGGAACACCTCCTAACCAACACAGGAGACTTGCCTTCATTTGAAGAGATCAATGGCATCTTACCTGGTCAAGTTTACCAGAGATTGGCAATATCTTTGGTGGGTTATTGGGTTCTCTGTACTGAGGCGGAGGTGGGATGTTCTTCTCATTGTTGGCTGCAACATTCCCACAGAGATCTGCCTTCACTTTCTCACTCTTGCGCAGGTCTCCGTTGATGTATATGGAGTTGGAGATCTTTTCTGATTTGTAGGTCTTCTCCTCCCCAGAGTAGCGGTTTGAGATCTCCCGTGTAGAGTAGCTGTTCCGGGACCCGTCAATCTGCCGACTATTGCTCTGAGTCCTAGTCCCCACACTCTTCATGGCAAACTCTTGTTCGCTGGCGACGCCGCTGCCCACGCTTCCCATACTGCCTTGGGAGGTGGGTTCAGAGAGTCTTGGTTCAAAGGGGTGGAATGATTCCTGGCTGTGATAGCTGGGGTCACTAAGGACAGAGAGGGTCTCTAGTTTGGCCATGGCAAG